ATAAAAATTTCATTTTTATGTCACATATTAAATGGATGCTTTTTATTTTTTCCAAAATAAACAAAAATACTTAAAATACAACAGGAATTACGTTTTGATAGAACAGTTTGACCAAGTACTGGGAAAACTTTTTCACAAAATTCCCATGTTTTAGAGACATCATTTAGAAAAACAATTTCAAGTTTTATTAAGATTTATTAACAACAATAAAAGAATTAGTCCTTGTCAACATGACAGTAAACTGAGCACAGCACCACGTATCTTGTCCAACGCACACAAAACTAGAGGAGACTTCAAAAGATAGTTTTTCATCTTAAATTAATCCTGGTACCCTACAGGATCACAGCTCCAGTCAGAAGCTAATGTATCCTTCCAGATGCTTTTGCACAAGAACAGATTAAGCTCTTAAGATACAGAGATTCAATCCTGTACACACACAGTAATGTCAGTAGCTTTAGACCTTGGAAAGCTGGGTGAGCACCTCTGGGCAGAGACAGTAAAAGAGCTGATTCCAACAACCCAGCAATTTGTCTCTCCATTCCCCTCCATCCCTACTGCCACCTTATATTAACAAACCACTGTCTCCAGCACAAAAAATAGCCTATGAAACTCTGGATTGAAAATTACAAGCATCTGTCAGAAGCAGCCCAGCATATTTGGCGGCTGAGGGTGACTCTAAAATGTACTGAGCTGTAAACTCCTTTGAAAAAACCTGATGGACACTCAGTTATGAAAACAGACTGAAGCTTTAGAGCTTCCCATGGGAAGTTAGGTAGGGGGAATGAGAAGATTAATCTGTTTTTCCAAGATAAAAATATGTATCACCTGAAAAAGCTCAGCAGTATACAAAAAAAGTAATAATAAAACCCAGCACACGTATCCCCATCTTTCACAGGCAACAGGTCATACCAATTACTTTCCAATATTTTCACAGTGCATCTGGCAGTCCAGCTGATGTGGTGGACCTTTACTTTAACACTGGAAACATAATACAGAGCTGGTATTATATGATGCAAGTCCTTTGGTTAAATTTGGTTACTGTTGTTATTTGCTATTGAACCTCACTGTCAGTAGAAGGCAGTCCCACCAGGGGAGCCCTGAACCATATGCCAGCGCTTTTCACTCCTGTCTAATTCTGCGTACAATCTTGTTTTCTCTGCTCAGAAAATGACCTACATATGTACTAAAAAGATGCTACCAGGAACACTACATATGTCACATTCAAATATAGCCTTTAAAAAAAACCCCAAAACCTACAGACACTTTAAGCACAAAGCGAGCACTGAGCAGGAGGCTCACATTGTGAAGACGTACCAAAGACAGGGGTAGAGGAGAAGATAAGGCACCTAACCAGGCAGGTCCCTTTTGCACTGCAGACCCAGTAACATGCACATACTGTAGTCCTAAGTAACTATGCTTGGGTAGCCTGTCCATTAAGCAATGCCTAAGCTATAAATTGAGCAAGAAAACAAAACGCTGAAAAGCTGATCATTAATTGAGCACCATTTATTCTGCATGCCAAACAAGAAAGGAGAATCTATTAATCCAGCTAATGATTGTTCATGTCTTTCAGTTCTGGCCTGACCTCAGGCCAAAAGGCCTCAGACCGAAGATGAGCCAAGTGAAGGACGTGGCTTTCCTGCCAAGCACACAAACTACAGCAGCCAACACAGGGCAAAACTATGCTGACCCTCAATCCTGTACCAAGTGTGGTTGGGCACTCTGCAGCAACAGGCTGAGGCCTTCAGCATTATCAGATGCAGAAGGTCCAATGACATTTTTTTCCTAGCTAAGCCCATACAAAGCACTACCGAGCACATGCAATTCAATTTCTCATATGTCTGAATTTTGCTCACATGTGCTGCAGTGAATATCTGTCCAAATGCTGCATTCCTGACATCTGGCTCAGACAAAAAGAGTCAGGGACACCCTCAGGAAGGGGCAGGTAGGCGGGAATAATGGCTATAACCTTGCTCTTAAGCCATTTAGCCTGGAATTGTCAGGAATTCAGAAATTCAGACCTGAAAAGATCTAAGGATATTCTAAGCACATGTTGAACACGTTTTCCCTTGTTATGCATTGCCTATATTTTGTATTTACACGAGGGAAGGTGGGAGAGAAAGGGAACATATCTGTTTCCACCATTAAAATATATTCAACATTTGCAATAAAAGAAGATTTTGGGTTGTCCTTGAGAGAAGGTCTATTATTTTCCAGAAACATCTCTTTCTATAACTGCCGAAAAGGACAGTTTTTCATCTTAAAACATCTCTACAGAAAACTGTAAGAAATGGACAAGACAGACAAATGAGAGATGTTCCTCATTTCAGCATATATCCTGTGGTTTTCATCCTTGAAAATTTAACTGTAGGCCTTTATAAATCACAGTCACAAGAAAAATGGCCCTTTTCTCAAATGGACAAAATCAACACAGATCCACCCTGTACCAGCAAGGGCAGAGGGAAGTCCCATAGGTAACCACCACATCTGCTTTTACAGCACCACACTACTGCCCATAACAGAGTAATTCATTTATTAAATGCAAGCAAACACATATTTCTGGAGTAGATCTCTTGATAGGCAATTTGCAGAGAGCTACAGGAAAGAGACCTCAAAAATGTATAAAATTATACACAGTCAAGAAGTTTTTACTGGTTTTCAGGTAAGAAAGCATTCATAACACCACACCACTGCACCTTCACATTTTAGCAGTTCACACTATCACTGAAATGTCATGTTACTAAGCAGACTTCTTACATCAACATTAGCAAGTTCTGGGTCACTGTGGGCAGTAAAATGACAGACAGAAGCCTCCAAGATATGAAAGAAAAAGTTCCAATTTCTAATGCCTTAATGAAATTATCCAGGCTCCCTCTAGTGGGGAATTCAATGTAGAGATTGTTGCAGTTTGCTATATGAGAACGGCTTTGAACCACTATGGGTTTTTTCTTCTGTAAAATAAACTGTGTTAGCATTGGACTCTGCAATTCCTGGAGTCTCTTGTGATGCTTCACTACAGCAATTCGAGGCAAAGCTCTGTTTCTGGTCATATGTTCCATCACATAAAGAAGAGTAATCTTTGATTAAAAAAAAAGGAGAAAACATCACAAAGGCACACAGTGTCTCTGTGCTCCAAAGTCCTCAGAAAATATCTCAGTTCTTCAGCTCTCCAGAGCCCCAACAGAACCACCACCTCTGCCCCTGATGTGGGCAGAGGCCAAAGAGAGACTGCTCTCCCCAGATCACACAAGAGATCTACAGCTGCACAAAAGAACAACCCCTATCTCCCAATTTCCATTTCTGTGACTTATATATTAACTATATTAAGCCCCAAGTCTCGTATCTCTACAACAATACCAGTGTCATTTATTTGCACCACTATAAAACAATTCCAACATGTCTATGTATGTTTCTACAAGACACACATACAGGGGAGTCAAGCAAACCATCCATCCCTTTCCTTCCTTTGCCCCCCCTCGAAGTTGTCAATGTAACCAGTTACTGTCAAAGAACATGAGAAGCTTTACAAACACAAAAAGATGTAGAATTTGATATTTTTACTGTCTACCACTAAATATATGCACTACGTATTGCCATCAAAATTCCTGTTATGCCACTTCATAGTGAAATTCATTATTCTTGTCTACTGAACTTTATAACAAATGTTATCAACATTCTGCAGTCTGAAGTCTTGATTAAACAAAAAAAAAATGCAGAGGTAGCATTTAAAAAATGAGAAAACCCACCCAACCTGGGATAGGTAAACTGCAACCTGAAGATGTCCCCTACTGTACAGGAAAACCAGCATGAGCCCTTTCACAGACGGAGTCAATTTTATTTCTGACAGCCCTCATTATGACTCACTAACTTTTTCCCTTAATAAAACCATGAATCGCATCACAGCAAGTGTGTCTATAACAAGCCGGAGGACTCAAATATTTATTCAATGGCTAAGAAACAGAACTTGGCTAACTAGAGGGGAAAAAAGTCTTAATTCTCAATTTGTCCTCATGCTTTAACATAGAAAGGGTTGCAAGATCGCAATAAGAAAGATTCACTTCTCTCTTCCCCCCCCCTTTTTTTAATACCTACTATAGTCCCAGGATTCTGATTAACCTCATACAGCCCATCTCTGATGACGAGTATAATTCAGATTACTGCCTGACAGGATGGCAGCTGAAGCCGAAGAGCAACCAAAATTTGGAGGATATTTAGGACATAGCTGGCCCAGAAGCCAACCTCATGTGTTAGAGGAAACAGCCGTCACTCCAAGTTCTTTGGAACAACTATAAAGTTTTACCCGAACGGACTGCTTTTGCAAGTTATGCAATGCATATAGGAAGGCAATCAAAGAGCAGCAATTCACGTTCAGGATGCCATTAATGAAATCCAAAGCCTTCCAAAGCAAGCGTCATCTCATTTAGACCAGAGAGATTACTACCTCATTTTGTCCCAGAAGCATTCCTTTAGCGCCCAAGTGCCCAAGCAAAGCTATCCAGGGAACCCGAAGCGAGGTCTTTACAGTTCGGAAAGATAGGCGTGATCTCCTGGTCCCCCCTAACTTCCCAGAACCCCCTCAAATGCAAAGCCTGCGGTGTGCGCTGTTGACACTGACAGACCACCAGAAAGATGAAATTGCAGAAAGGATGCGAGACCATTCTCTTCGTACAGAAATGGGACAACTCTCCCAAAAAAGGGTCAGGACTACACCACCTGTAAGTAAAATCGAGTAGGGCAAGCACACACACACCGCCCTCTTGCACACCTCGCCGCGATCGCCACCGGACCCCGCTCCGGACCCGGCTCAGCCAAGCGCTCCCCTCGCCAGCCCCCTCGCCCCGCACACCCCAGGGGCCACTTCGCCTTCTGCTCGCGGGCTGCCCCGCAGCAAGAGTGGATTTCTGCCTCGGTTAAACCTGTCCCGGGGGAGCTCGGACCCCGGCGGGGCAGGAGCCGGGTCCCCCCGGGGAGGGAGCCCGGCGGGGCGGCGCGGCACTCACCGATGCCCAGCCCCACCACCACGCGTCCCGCCAGCAGCGTCTCCTTGTCGCGGGCGGCAGCCAGCACGCCGGCCCCCGCCGTGAAGAGGCCGCTGGCCAGCAGGATGCAGGGCCGGCGGCCGCACAGCCCGTTCAGAACGCCGCCGGCCAGGGCGGACAGGGCGGCGGCGCCCACCGTGCCGGAGACGAGCAGCTCCTGCCACAGCGCGTCCAGGTTGAGCTCCCTCTTGAGGAGGAGCAGCGCCCCCGACACCACGCCGGTGTCGTAGCCGAAGAGGAAGCCCCCCAGGGCGGAGAAGACCGACACCACGTAGACGAAGCCGGGGGTCTCGTCCTGCTGGAACTGCCGCCGCGCCGCCCGCTCCAGCTCGCCGCCCGACGCCGCGCTGTTGAGGCTGGAGCAGGACTCGGCGGCGATGAGGCTCCGCTCGCCCGCCGCCGCCGCCGCGCCCGAGCCGGCGGACCCGTCCGCCTGCCGCCGCCGCTTCTCGCCCATCAGGTTGCTCAGGCTCCGCAGCGTGTACTCCACATTGTCGCTGGCCTTGCGGGACATGGGACGGCCGCGGCGGCTCCCGCCCCGGCCGGGGGAGGGCAGGGGGCTGAGGCGGGCGGCTGCCGGGCTGCTCTGACCACGGCGGCGGGGCTGCCGCTGCTGCCGGCGCTGCCTGTCCTCGGCGCGCCCGCCCCTCTCGGGCCGCGCTCAGACGGGTCGCATCATCCCCCCGCCGCCGGGCGGACTTGAGGGGAAGTTGCCGCCGCTCCCAGCGCCCGGGCGGAGCTGGAGGCGGAGGCGGGCGGGGACAGCGGCGAGCGCGGCCCGGCGGGCGCAGGGGGCGGGCCCGGCCCCCCCGCTCCGCTCGGTGCGCGGAACGGGGCAGGCGCGGCCAGAGCGCGTGCGCACCGAGCGCCCCGCCGCGCGCACTCGTGGGGGTGCTGAGGGGCTGCGGGGCCGGCGGGGCGGGACGCGGGGAAGGGAGGAAGGAGGGAAGCAAGGAAGTGCTGGGCGGGTGGGCGCCAGGCAAGCCCGGGGGCCGGTCCCTCACACTGGGGTAGGGATGCTCCTGCTGGCAGCCCCCGCCTGTGCCCGGTGGAAGGGGCCGCCCCCCGCGCGGTCCCGGCGCTGCCCGGTAAACGCTGTCCAGGTGTTTGGCGCACGTAAAGATCGCAGTTAACTTACTAACTGCGTCGTTTGAGCGGAGACAGCGTTCAGCGTCCGCGTTTGCAATTTTCTGAAGTGCTGGGTGACATTTCCCCATTGATTTCCTCTCTGTAGATATTCAAAACCCACCTGGATGCGTTGCTGTGTAACCTGGTCTCGGTGACCCTACCTTGGCAGGGGTTGGACTAGATGATCTCCAGAGGTCCGTTCCAACTCTATCAATTCTGTGACAACAAAAAAAAAAAAAAAAAAAAAAAAAAAAAAAAAACAGTTGTTCAGAAAGGAACGGTTTTGTTACCATACAGGAGCAGAGCTTGGAGCTTTTTCTCCTGTTTACGCTTGACGTAGAACACCACGTTTGGTAATTCCATTTTCAAACATATTTGGGATTTTCACCAGGATGCTGAGCTGTGGGGACGCTGTCAGTGGGGAGAGGTGCCCGGCTCTGCAGGGACCCGGGCAGTCTGTGCCATCTGTGCACACGGAAGGGCCTCCAGGTGCGATACAGACCTTGTGGAAAAAGCAGACGCAGCACAATATTATCATTTGTTTCATTGTGTATATAATGGTACATATATGCCATTAAACAGGATTTTTCTTCTGACTTGACTGTCTTCTGTAAAGATCCTCATAATAAGGCCAGCCAGTAGCTGGAGAATTTCGGTGATTAATTGGATCAGTTATTCCCAGCCCACACCTTGTGAGCAGTACTAGTCATAGCCATGTGAATTTAAAAATTAGATGAGGGAGCAAAGTCCAACATGGCCAGCTGCACACAGCCTCTTTGGTGGTTTGCCTCTGCCTCAAAGCAAGCTGTGACATGCTAATACTGTGGTCCAGTTAATACCAACTCAATCATATAGTGAACTGTAGTTACTGAAATGCCTTACAATAACAATTGTCTATGTAGTTAATCCAGTTAGAGACAGATGTAGCAGTGCATTTCTAAATACAATAGGTTAGCTTCCATGTTTGAGCATGTGAGAAGCCTGAACTAGGTCAAAATTAAGTGCATTAACATTCAGTTATTTTTAATCAAGGTTTGGGTAATATGGCACAGGGCATTCCTTATTCTGGCAAAGACCATTAGGGGCCAACCCAACATTAGAGCAAGAAGCTGTTCCAGGTTGTAGCATCAGGAATGAAGTTATGTTGTGCTACATGGAACTGTTCCCTCAGGTCTGGCAGTTCTCCACAAGCACACTGGCTTACATTTCTACAGCACCATCAGGAGAAAAGCTGTAATCTTCCAGAAGTCTCCAGCACAAGCACCACATTCAGTAGTTTTTTTATGTAAGCCCCAAATAAAAATGCAGGACACAGTGCATTACACAGAAAGCGTTCACACCAAATCCCTAGCCAGCTAGAAGGAATGCTTTCACAGAATATTGTCACAACAGCTGGTTGTCACAAAAACAACTTGTCTTTTTAACAGTCACCTCAGAAGCTGGAGGCATTCTGTGTGTTGCAGTTAATAGAGACTCAAGAGAGCTAACAAAAAGCTTTTATTTTTTCCATTGCTGGCCCAACACAATCACAAATAGACATAATTTCTTATCAGATCATGCTGTCAAGCTTACCTCTTAAAAGGATTCTGTGAAGAAATGCAACAAAAAGTTCAGCTCTGGGATGCACTACACTGAAGACTGACTTCATGAGGAAAAGAGAGGATTTGGTTTGTAGATTTTCATTATTGTGATCATTTTTCTGTAGTACTGGATTTCATGATAAGAGCTGACTTATAAACAATTTCACAGTAATGCAAAATGCAGTAGGTGTGATTAGTAATCTAAGACAGGGAGTCAAATCCAAAGAGGGATTTAGGTGGATCTTAGGCATGATGTTATGCTTTCAAGAGATTAAATGTTTAATTGAAACACTTTAGATTCACAGCACTGCCTCATTCTCTCCTTTAAGGTGAGTTTGCACAGTTGTTTTTCAGGTGATATTGTGAACTAGATCAAAGAGCTAGTCCAGCTTTAAGAAACTCAATTTTTTGTGTTTCACAGAGAGCAGGAAGAATTACAGGACTTTACTGGTTTTATGTTGTTGATACATGGCATACATCAGAAAATGTCTTCCAGGAAACTACTGAGACTTTGTACATGTGCCCAGAACTCTGCCAGACCTGAATTGCTAGGAGTAAGCTCCTGTCTCTTTGTTGGCACTCAGAAGCGGGTGGATGAGTGCCGAAATCTCCTGGGGACTTCAAACCAGCCAAGAGGCACAGAGAGGTGCTGTAGGTCTGTTGTGTGATAGCCTGATGGCTGATAGCCTCACCCAGCAAGTGGGAGGCCACATTCACAGATTTGGTTCAGCCCAGGAGGATTGAAATCTTTCACCTCTCAAGAAGATTGTAGGTTAAATGGGGAAAAGATGGATTTTTAAAGGAAATTGAGTTGCAATGCAGACAAGAATGTAGGCACCATGGGGCTAGACAGACAGCGAAGAAGAAAAGGATGTGACTCTGGCAAAAGAAGGTTCAGCCCTGACACTGGTGGTTATATCCTTCACATAAAACTGTGGCTGCACCAAAAAAAAAAAAAACAAACAACCAAGAGCAATACAAGGAGCAGGTCTCCAAACCAAGAATTTTTCCCATCTCAGTGAGTGCTGTGGCTTTAGCCTCATGCAGGTTTTAGTAATACAGTGTGCAACCTCTTGTGTTTTTAGGCTCTAAAATAATTTTTTTTTTGTTACTGTTATAATGCCTTAAACTCTGTTAAGCAACCTGCTCTGATAGTCAATTATTTTGCCACAGAGTTGCTGTGTGAGTTGAGAAATACCACTGTGCTGGGCTGAGGGAAATTGCCTAGCTGAATATGCAAAAAAAGATCAGCAAATACAGTTTATAACAGAAGCTTATATGATGTCTAAAACCTTGAAAAAGTAGTGATAGTAGTGACAGAACCTTTTCTTACAAGTTAAGTTTGCTTGCAGGTCTCAAGGTTCAGAAACCTTTTCTCTACACAGAATTAGACATTATCAGTGTGCCAAAGAATATGGTGGGGTACCACTTTATGCAAAACATATTCTTTCTGCTGAGAAGAAACAAACCCTGACCCTTGATCACACCAGTTTGTTGATTTTTTGGATATGTGTTGGTAATATAAGGTTGGGACTATAAGGACTACTCTAGTTTAAAAGAGAAAAAAAGGGTCTGAAAATAGGAGTTTAGAAACAATTTTAAACAAGCCATGTATTGCCATAAACCTTCCTTTTGTTCCAATGTTCATCCTATTGCAACATTGTTTGGTCTCTTTGGAAAGAAGACACTTTCAGATACATTCCATAGTTTTCTGGTCCCCATTTAACATCCCTTCTCCATCCATTTTCTCTATCTTGACAGAGTTGTTGATTTATCTGAATGTACCTATCTCTGAGCTCTCAATACAGTTTTAGTTGTTTGTAATCCTTCCAGTGTTTGCTTTGGGTTCTCCTTTATATGTACAGATTCTGATTAGACCTTAGTCCAATACCTCAACAGAAGTCACCCTTCATATACATAATTTCTTCTCAATTGGATGCTGTTATGTGGGACTTTCATTCCAGGCTGTCCTAGTCTGCAACATGACTTTCAGCCTATTATTTACCTTCTACTGCAGTTATGTGAAGCTATAAACTGGGACATCATTATTGACCTCCTCTGTAAAATCTTTTCAAAACGAAAGTAACATCAGAATTTTTTTGCAAGGACCCTACCAGCATCATGCATTTAACCCTACTGGTCAAGTGTTAAGAGATAAATTGCTAAACAAGTAGAAATAATTACCGTCTTAGCACTGGAGAATGTGCCATGGTGGTGATTGCAAAAAGTTGACAAGCTGTGGGATGATGCATTCCTTGCCTGACAGGCAGAGCTGGCAGCAGTACAGCTAAGGTTGCCTAAGACGTCACATCACAGGCTCTTTTAATCTCAGGTAACTTTACCAGAGTAGTCATTTGAGCTCACATTTTGCATAATTGCACTCTCTCTCATGCTAAATACCTGAATTCCAGCAAGCCCACTTCAGACTCATTGAAAATGCAATTGTAGAAAACGCATGGGTTTTAAAGTTAAATTTTTATCTCTATTTTTAAGATCTCCAGCTTTTTCATGCTTTAGAGCAGGGACTCAATTTTTGGCAGGAGAACAGTTCCTTTCTGCCTTTGGCTGTCAAAATGAAGATCTAACGAAACAGAGTCTCGGGTAGAGTCAGAAGCAACATGTGTGAGAACGTGCTGCTAAACCCAGTGTGCCCCGAGCAGGTCTGCAGCCATTAAACAGAGAGCTGTGCACTGACCTCTGTGCAGGCGTCCAGGGGTGAGAGTCGGGCAGCCCATTTAGATGCACTGCTTCAAAAATCAGGGCCCAGCACTTTCTGAAAACCAGTGGCAGTGCAAAATGTGGGGTGAGAGGGGGGAGAAAGCAGAGTTTTATTACTGTACAATTAGTATTTTTTACATTTGTGTACTTGCAAAGATGATTTGCTGGGTTACAATCCTTATCAAGTCATTATTAGCCTGTAAAAGTTATATTTACTTTAGTTATTACATGGCAGCATGAAAATCAAGGATTTGGCACACTACCTGCAAGATACCAGGGAAACACCGCTCTTCATATGCCGTATCTTCAAATGAGCATGTTCCAACACAGAGCTGTTTGTCTGTCTGCCAAACTGAAACCTCCTCAAGTGCTGCAGGTAAGCCCAGAAGAACAACAGGCCATCTCCTTGGTCATTCCTGGGATCAGATTAATGCTTTCTTCCCATGAGCTCCTAGCATCTGGTGTACATGGAAGACATATCCAGGAAGAAGAGAACTACATTCAAAACCATTAGTTTCAGTCCAAACCCCTTTAATTCTATTGCTCACAAAACAGATCCGATTTATAGAGTCCATTTTCCTAAAAGGCTAACAGTACTTCTAAACCAAATCCTTCTATGGATTATATAAGACCAGCACATCAGTTGTCTACCATTTAAGGAAATAAACCTGAAAAATAAATCAGAAAGGCTTTTAGGCTTATATATGACTGCAAACTATTCCCCATCCCTAGAAAAGTAGTGGCTGACCCAGCATGAATTCACTAGTTTAAAAAATTTTACCTCATCAGTGCAAAATCTTTCCATCAAACAGAGTTCCAAGAAGTAGAAGCCATGTGCTGTAAGCAGCAGGTTAAAAGCTGGCTTTGCTGTCAGTCCTGACACTGCATTGCCCCTGGGCAGAACACTGCACAGAAGTGCTTTATCTGAGTTTGCAAATGAAATGGGAAACTGCCCAGGAAGAATTCAGTAACTGACTCATTATTTGGTGATATCCTTTGGATCTGACAGACGGTGAATCCGTCAAAAGTTGTTTGGTGAATTTTTTCTGAGAGAGCTGTAAATGAGGGATAAGTAACTTTGAAAAGGAAATTGGGCCATATGAATTCCCTGTGCAAAGGCAAAATACACGCAGAGAGTGTCTAAAGTTGGCTGATACGTGCCAGGCATCATTCTGGCATGTGGAAGTTGAAAACTAGCACTTTC